TCAGATAAAGATAACAATGAGATAATTATAGAAAAATAAGTGATACGAGAAAGAAAAAGAATAAAATAGAAAGAAAAGAAGGAAATAGAATGTCATCGAACTAGACACGTAATCCAAATATTATTATAATCAATCTTTTATCATTACTACGTCTTCTATTCACGTGTTTTCGTATGGAATAACTGACGATATTGAATTGGTGACAGTATAGATCTATTGCATCATAATTACATATTACTATATTATACTGTGTTATTATAATACAAAAATATATATAAATATAAATGCTAATAATTAATAAAAATCAAGTTTTATAGTTCTTGTTTAAAGTTTTTAAAGTTTAATTTAAGCTCTTTAAATTGATTTTAAGTTTTTTTTGATTTAATTTTAAGTTCATTATATGTCAAGAAATATTATTCTATCATCATAAACTTTATTTAGTTATAAAAATCAAAGTAAAGTTCTGTGAACATAGTTACTATTGCTATTTTGAAATACTTTCATATAAAAAAGCTCAAAATAATAATAATACTTATTAAAATTTAAGATATAAAGAAAATTCTTTAATAATTCAAAAATTTCAGATAAAATACAAAATAATATATAATTATTATAATAGTTTGTATTTTAATACTTATATTTAAATATTTTTATTTGTTAAAAGTTTTGTATTCTTTAAAAAATTAAATTTAAAATTTATTTAATTATATTATATAATAAAAATACAATACAAATAAGTATAAGAATTTATATTTTATAATAAAATCAATTTAAAGCAGAATCTAGAAAGTTAATAATTATATGTAGTATATAAATTTTTCATCACGACTAAAATAAAAATAATTCTTTTATATATGTTATATAATTTATTTAATACAATTATAATATATATATACTTTAAATTTAATAATTAATAAATATATTATTAATAATAAAAAGAAATTTGCATATTTTTTATTAAATTAAACACTTGTTAAATTAGAAATAATTTAAATTATTAACTATAAATAGTATATAATTTTCTATAATTACGTGAATATGAATTTTTGTTACAAAAAGTTATAAATAATGCTTTGAAAACATGTAGAATCACGTGATTTTTGATACAAGAAATAAATATGAAAAATAAATATCAAAATCTATCTTGAAGTATTAATAAAAATGTTAAAAGAACAATTTACATATAACCTTATTTCAGCTTTAACCATTATTCTAATTTAAACGATAAAATAATCTTTAAGATCAATTTTTCGTAATCTAGCACTGTTCGTAGACTTTCCATTTTTGTTGTCGAGAAGTTTACGAACAGTGTTTAGGGACAGTGCAGGATCATGTGATCACAGAAAATTGACGTTAAAGGTTGTTTTATCGTTTGGATTAGGGTTAGGGTTAGAGCAGAGGACATCTGTTTTCCACATTTTTTATTTTCTAGTGTCAAAAACCACGTGATTCCGTTTTGTTGTGTACGCGCGTTAAGTCATGTGCTTGCGTAGGTGGGTAACCAGCCAATCACCACAAATTCATAAATCGCGTCTAAATCAACACGACCAAATTACGAAGGTTAACAATATGGAAAATGTGTTATCATTTAATAGTTCATTTAGTTACAACATTAATGCGGGCTCGATAAAGAGTAAAGAGAAGAAAGGTGTTTTGACTGACTATAACAATAACGGTAGTAACATTAATTATAAGCATAATCACTCTTTATCTGACTCCGAGAAATCAAATAAGCCTCCGCTTCCTCCGCCCGTTTCTCTTGATTCTGACGACGTCAACAACCTAAACAACAAAAGTCTAGCAGACTTGCGTGGTTCCGTGCTGCTGAAATTCAAAGAGTTTATCGATTATACGCAAAATATCACTCAAAATCAGAAATGGAAAACACAAGTGAATAAAGATCGCGGTTAGCATGGTTTCTCAATCTTGTCAGGGAAAAATTTTTTTGATAATTAATTTTATTATAATCACATAAGAGATAGAAAAAAAGTTAAATGCGGAAATTAAAGAATGCGAGGAAAAAACGCGTGTATTAGGACAAAGTAATTCTATCTTCGATGATTCATTTTACTTTTACTTGAATACGTCATAATATTTCCTAATGATTAAATTATCAGCATTAGCAAAAGAAGCCACACAAATAGAAGAGGCGCAAAAAACCAATATTGATCTTCAGCACCAGGTGCAGACATTAATTGACAGGAAAACCAATTTCCAGAGTCAAGTACAAACACTGGAAAAAGAATTACAAAAGTTGCAGGCTTGTGAGTGTTGCTATTATTGAAAATATCCCTCTTGCTTGATCTTATATTGGATATTGATTCTGTATATTAATAACAATAACAATTGACTAGTCAAATCAGCACAAAAACAAGCAATTCAGATGCAATTCTCGAGAAACGAATCAGAATTACAATTGTACAAGGATACTCTGAAGATGAAGTTAGTGGGATTACAAAGTAATATTTATTTTTATTATCTATTTCTGATTCATTTTTAATTTAAAATGGCTGATTAATCAAATCAAATAATATAGCAGACAATATATTAGTCAGCTTCAAATGTATCAGTGACCACGATTCAGAACGGGAATATTCGTTTCTGGTGGATGTGACTGAGAGTCAGTATAAAAGTAAGTATTCATTTCTACTATTTATTTTTTGTATTGGGCGTATTGATTAACCTTAAGTTGATTTGACACATAATATGTATGTACAGTCAGCATGTGCAAACTTCCCGCTGACCAGATCGAACAGCTGGTCGAATACCTGAACAAAACACGTCAGTTTTTTTTGTTCCTGAAAAAGATCCGGAAAGCGTTTCGCGAACATTACAAAAATGAAAAATGATGAATTTGTATAAGCATAAAAGCATTCGAGTGGTATTTCGATTATCATGCATATTTATATATTTTAACCAATATTATTTGCATTAATTCTTTTTTATTGTTTTTTGCTGTTTACTGTTAAGTATGGACACGCGTGTAAATAACTCAATTGGTTATTATATAGATTGTTAGTGAGTGTGATTGATCAAATTGATTTCATAATATTGAAGAAAATCAAATTGATATATAAAATACCTTTCTATTCATTTGAGTCTGTATATTTATTATGTGTATTAATGTAAGATGTGTGTGTTATTATGATACATTTGAGGAAAGAGTACCAAGATGGATGATGATGATGAATTGGATGAATCCTATTTTTAAAAGACAAAAATAGTAAAATAAACCGCAATAATAATAGTATAGTGACATACTATACAACTACAACTAAAAAATGCTTCACTCAACCACAACGCCTATATAACTACATCTAATAATCAACCTAGACAAATAAAAATAAACCGTGAGTAGTATAGGAAAGAAATCTTTATCAAAAAGATTCCAAGAACGAAATCAAAATCAGAAACGAAATTTAGGATCTCTGTTAAGAAGGGGTACAAGTAATATTATTTAGAATAATAAAGACAAATTAGTTTGTACAAAATGAAAATGAGAAAAAATATACAAACTTTTATTAAGAATACCCAATTAAAAACCCACTCAACCCATGCACATAAAAAATACAGTTCCTATTACTATTATTATTAATATTATTATTATTATTACTATATTATTACTAATATTATTGCCACCAAAAAGCACACTAGATCCCGCTAGATAGCCTGATCTATAAAAATAAACAAAAAAAAATAAAATGAATTAAATAAACTAACAGAATCTCACTATCTAATTAGTTATAATATAATAATATTAATAAAATAACATGAATACAAAACATCGGTCTTTCTTTTCTCTTTTCATTTCTTAAAGAAGTAATATATCCTGATTTAAGAGCAACCATAAATATATATCAACAACAACAATAATAATAATAATAATAATTAATAATAATAATGATAATGATAATAGTCGATAATGATAATAGTCAATAATGATAACAATAATTATCTTTGCCCAAAATAATAAATCAAATATATTTTTTTGGGGCTAAGGGTGAAGATGCCAGCCACCACCATATGAATAAAAGTCTATGGTCAATATAAATAATGCAAGAGTGTTTTTCAAATTACGTCATCACACATTATCAAATCAGCAGCAATAATTATTTCTTGAAAAGGAAAACCAGATCCGAAAATTCGCGACTACTTTATTCCTGTTGTCATTGTTCCAGGATCTTTCGACGCATTATTTGATGAGGATTGTGATGATGACGACGTCGACGACACTACATTTGATCTCATCATATTATTATCACTGTTTCTAATAGAGGGATCATTCTCAAGAAAATTTGGCACTTCGCCTCCCCAGAATATCATTATTTCGCCGTCTCCCTCATCAGACATCATCGTGCTACGAGGATTCGAACTAGCTGAACTTATCATACTCTCTCGTTCTAAAAGATGTGGTGAAGTTCCGCCACCGCTTCCTACTATTGATGCTGTTGATATTGTCGCCCCACCAGAACTGTCTACTTCGTCACTACCAAATAGCCCAAAAGACTGGCGTCCCTCGAATGGGTCAAGGAACGGAGAAACTAGATTCGAAGAGATGGTGTTTTCGGAGTGGTTGTTATTAATTGTACGAGATACAGTATTCGACGATTCTAGTGAAGATCGTTCGACATCGATTTGCGGTAGCAGTATTGTTGAATTTCTTGACATAGTTATTGTGTCATCGTCATTATTGTCAAAATATTCATCACCAAGAAGGTCGTCCTCGTCGTCATTACCATTAATCGAAATCGAATGAAAAGTGGTCGGACTACTAGGTGCTGATGACTTATTCGACGAATGCACACTCAATAAAGTGTTTCCTGTTTTTGGTGTGGCCGGTGTAGACGCCAAGTGATTTCCAGCCTGTGATCTCAATTCAGAATGACTATTAGATTTCACAGTATTAAGACGAACAAGTGCGGGTTTTGCACGTGTGGCCGTAACAACAGTAGTCCCGCTAGCCGGCGTGGCTTTTGTGGCTTGTAATACTGTGCCAACTTCTGAAAATGCATCATCGTCTTCCGATAGACTAACCATTTTTTCGTTGGAGTAGGTGCGTGGTAGTGGACTTGCCAGAGGGGTGACCAGCGGTGTTGTTCCCACACTCAGATACGAGAGGCGACTTCGTGCGTGAGCAGGTTCAGGTCGAGGTGTTGTTGGCGTGGTTGGCGTAACAGGTGGAATATACGCGATCGGTATCACGTTCTCGCTATCAGAGGAACCATCAAGTTTTTCGCAAGTCGACGAAAAAAATAAGCCACGATCTCTTCGACGTTTATACCGCATGTAACCGAACACGGCCGCAGCCAACAATCCCGCACCAAGCAATCCGCCAATCACTGCAGGAATTAATTTGGCGTTGCTATTCGAACCGCTATTTTCGTTGCTTTTATCAAAGGAATTATTGCTGACGCCGACTTTTATGTCACCGCATCGCGGTGTCGGACATGATGTACATGTTTGTAAATCGAGAACACATATTTTTCCTTGCGAGCATTGTGGACATGGTGGTGGTGCGCCACAGACCACACAGGTTGAGCCTGGGGATGTTGATGATGTTGTATTTGATGATAGTGATTTTGGCTCTGTAATATTTTCATTTTGATTTTAAATAAACGATAGAATATTATTATTATTAGCGATTACCATATTTTTCGCTAAAATCCGTTCATTATTGAATTCAGAATACAGCATAATTTCTTCTGTGATATTCTCTCCTAGAATTAATCCTTTTCATAAATTGCACATCCTTAATATTATATAACTGATTGGAATATCATTCTTCGTTATCAATTCGTTCACCAAATTTTTATCATCCGTTATAATAAAATTCGTGAGTTTGAGATCAAAATCACCAATCGAAAATTCTCCAACAATCCTCAACCCTCGACACAAGAAACCAATACGTCCATTTAAAAAAAAATCAATTACAATTACCTGCTGCTTCCGTTCGTCCCGCTAATATATTTATGAGAAACAGTAAACATACAAGCCCTATTAATGCCCAGCGCCGTAATTTTGATGTGGAGTACATTTTTGTGGTGATGATTGTCTTTTTTTCTTGTTGCCGTTCTCTTGCTGAGATTAATATTTCCTTTTAGTATTATTATTACTGTTGTTGATAATATTATTTATATAAAAATACAAGTATATATACTTCTGTGAAAAAAAAGAAAAAAAAGAATACAATGAATGGGTGAAAGAAAAAAGGGAAAGAGGGTAAAAAGGTGACTCTTGAGATATCGTTTTTTTAAACAGAGATTGACTGGGGTCGTTACAGCAAAATAGATTGATTGACAAAATGTATCTTTATTTATTAATAGATTTTGTTGTTCTTTCGGCGATGAGTAATAGTGCTCTCTTACAAACTTTAACCCAAAACATTAATAACCTGCGTTAAAGCCGAAGGAGGTGTGAGAAGAATGAAACGAAAGGTAATGGTATTTGGTGGTTGTCGTGTTATGAGGGTGATTGAGGGGGGTGATTTGATTGTTTCAGGTTGGCTCGGCAGTTGGAAACAAGAACTACGATAATAAAATCTGTGTGGCGGAGATTTTCAAGAAGGCACGAACGAAACAATCCAATAAGCGAGAGAAAAGTCTAATCAGTAATAAAGAAGAAATAAGGAAACGGAAGAGTAGAAGAAATATTTTTGTGGCGGAGAAGGTGGTAGTGGTAATGGAAAAAAGTGTTCGTGCTAGTGGAACTATTATCGTTACCAATAATAATATAGTGGAGGTTGTATTATCTTCCATGTGAAACACCTAATAGAAAAAGAGTGGTTCTGGGTTCCGTGTGACCCACATTGCAGACCAACTAGGTATTTATTTATATTTCAATTATGTTTATCTCGCGTATTACAGTGATAAATTTCCTACAATAAATCCGTTATTATCGTTATAAATAAAAGGTATTATAAAAGGTACATTGTACGTAAGTCAAAGTTTGTTGTTGAACAAACCTTAAAAATTTAAAATGTATAAATATAGAAAGTTTGAATTTAGACGAATATCACGCGAATTGTTGTCATCCTGACCAATGTTAGTGGGCTTTTTTTTCCTTAATCCCAACAAAACAACAGTGACCGTTATTGTTCATATAAATAAAGACGTTCCTTATGTTTCGAGCGGCGTTAATGTCGCGGTTCCATGCAGTCTATTGTATTAAATAGTGTCTTTACATATTCAGAGTGCCCAAAACTGAGCTCATCTTCTTTTACAAGAAACATCCATTACCGTGATTTTTCTTATTGTATGCTATTTGCCACCACCCTAGCCAACAAATTTTCACCCGCACGTGATCTTAAAAATGGCGAGTGTGGCTGAACTAAATTTATGTGTTATGAATTCTGATCTTAAAATAGAGTATAATTTTTCCGGGTACTGCACGTCCTGAATCTGTGCCAGGTTTTGTAATATTATTAACATTAAAAGGTTGGTTTTAAGATTAGGGTTATCGTTAGGGTTAGAGCTGATATACAGGACAGGCTATATATAAAATTGTCTCCCCGACGTTTTTCTTTCTTGTATCGGATTTGTTTTGCCGGTCTGATCGAAAATTTCTGCATTCTTATTGGATGCTGATCAAAAATTGCGCATTCTTATTGGCTACTGGCACAGCTTCAGGATGTGCCGGGTACTCACAGAATATTACAGAACAATTATTATTGTTATAAATTTATTACTTGTTCAAAAATACATGTTTCAAAAGCTTAAATTCTCAACATGAAAAACAATATGCTATTATTCTTGTTTTTTTATTGAAAGTGCAAATTACTCTTTATTTAAAATTTTTTCAATGAAAATATTAAATTAAATTATTAAATTGTTAAATAAAATAAAAGTGATTAATTATTAATAATATTGTTATATTATAGAATATTTTAATTATAATACCAGATTATTTATAAGTATAACAAACTAAATTAACTGTTATTAATATTATTTATTTTGTTAATTTATTCTAAATTGTTAATAATTGTTTTGATAATTTTTTTTTAAATTGATTAAATTAACTAAGTTGGCTAAGTTAATTTGAAAGATTAATTCTTAGCTAATTGAATTGAATTATTAAATAAGTATTATAATTGTATTATTCAATTTATTTGTTTAATTACTTTTGAATTTGATAAGTTAATTCATATATTTTGATTTTATTTAATATAGCAATTCAAATTTGATCATTATGTGATTTAATTATTAAATATAATTTTGATAATTATTTCAGTAAATTTTTTCAATTAACTAATTGAATCTTGATTTTTTACAAAAATTTGAAAGTTTAACTATTTTTGTTTTTTTTATAAGTTGATTATCAAATATTAAAGTATTTGCTTGTATTTATTAATTTAAATTGATTATATAATATTAAAAGTTATTATATTTTAATTTTCTGATAATAATCTAATATTATATTTTTTATAATTAACCAATAAATAACAATATAAAATAATACAAATCAATTTTATTTATTATATTATTATTAGTAGTAGTCTTTGCAAATAAAGATTTTTATTATATAGTACTACTGTTACTAGCATCAGGAAATTTCTATACCCGTTGGCAATCAATTTATAACCATGCCTATTGGCAATCAATTATCAACACCCCCATCGTTCACCATCGATAGGGATTATAATCGATTGTCAGCGATTAAAATCGATTATAATCGCTGACAATCGATTGCGTTCGAAAATCATCGAAGAACATCGTTAGCAA